TTGCCTTTAGCGGAAGCAAAACCGTGACTCTCGCGAAAGAAAAAAAAACAGAAAACGCGTTTTGTTTTTCCCTTTCCGAGAGGCACGACCGTGACTCTCGCGAAAGCACAACCGTATCTTTTGCGGAAGCAAAACTGTGACTCTCGCGAAATAAAAAAAACAGAAAACACATTTTTTCCGTTTCTGAAAGGCACGGTCGTGACTCTCGCTAAAGCACGACCGTGCCTCTTGCAGGAAAAAACCGTGACTTTCGCGAAACGAAAAAAATGTGTTGAAAACCGGCGGAAAACCAAAACGTCGAAAAAACCTGAAAAAAAACGTTTAAAAAGCCGAAAACGCGTGCGGAAAAATTAAAAAAAAATCAGAGGAAGCGTCCAGAGCACGACACATGGCGAATGGCTGAGAGCACGCCAAATGACGCTGATTGTTGCGAGACTCCCAAAAGAGCGCTCGTTAATTAGTTGCTTCCGGGAATTAGGTTCCGCAAGAAATCTGACATGATTGGATCTTGGAGATCCGTATGCTGTAGGTGTGAACTCGACATGGGGCGCCGTGGTTGTGCTAGTCACGGTTTCTTTTTTCTTTTTCTTTTTTTTTGAGCAGTGCTAGTCACGGTTTCTTTAGAGCATGGCTAATAATATAGCCAATTGCCGGTTGTGTGATGTTGTAATGTTTTTAAAGCTATTATTGATTATCACTCGTATAATAAAGTTTGCTGTATAAGGCTCCATTCGGACTGCAGGTATTGAAAACAGAGGATTGAAAGAATCTACATGAACAACAGATGACTGCAGTTGTGAAGCGAAGGAACAAGAAAACAAAGGAGATCTTAGGAGCGAGGCGTTCGGAGGAGTAGCAGTGTGCTAAAGGAAACCTTGGTCTAATCTAGTACTCCCATGGTCTTAAAATAAGTGACTCAACTTTGTACTAACTTTGTATAAAATTAATAAAAACTTGAGTTACTTATTTTGAAACGGGAGGAGTAGCAAGTAGTATTTTTAAGAATTTTTTCTTTCTATTTCTCAGCCCATGCACTTGTTGGCTCTTCCTTTGAATCACCTCGGGCTTCAGCAAAAAATTGGCTTTGGGTAGATGTTTGGATTCCTGTGAAATCTGTAGGAATAGAGAAACTTTCCTGCGTTTTACTATTCACAATTCCCTTGCTCCGAACACATCAAGGGTGAAAATTCTGGTAGAAATCTTTCCTTCAAAGTTCTCTTTGAAATTCCTGTGAACTGAATAGGCCCTAAGACTAGTATTTTTTTTCACTTCTCTATTTCTCCTTCATATTTACTAGTAAGATGCTCGTGCGTTGCACGAAACGTCAAGATACATTTGTATGTGTAGTTTATCTTGTGAGAGAAAAGGATGAACGAGAGAAGTCCTTATCTGCAAGTGTGGAGAGAGGTGCGAGTATCCTTTTGCAAAATTGTCATAGTTTGCTTTCTATCCGTCAGATATAGATCAGACGTTCTATATTACACGATGGTAGGCACACCATCATCACCAACTCGGTCTTCTATAAGAGTAGAGATCACTCTCTCCATCCCATATTGTAAGTTTTTTGACATTACACTAGTACAAAAAAAACATCTTACATTATAAAGCAGATGGAGTATATTTTTTAGAAGCATGTGTAGAGGATGCATGACTCCTGCAAGAGAGCCCACCCCCTATTTTTTCATGTTCCTCTTCTCTACATAGGCAAAAACGACATGTAAACAACTATAAGTCTTCTGTTATACTTGCTGTTAAGGCTGCCACAATGTGATTGAGGCCAAAATATGCCACGTTATCATGGACGGTAGTGAACTAGTGATGTCTGCAATAGTGCCATCGCTAAATTCGTTGCTAGGTGGATCCAAGCTGACACAAGATAGTATAAAAAGACTTTTCTTTCTCAAATATATCCATGTCTCTTTCCTCACCCATCAATGAACCTCGCATTATTTATTTCGTCGAGATAATTTGGCATCGGAGCAGCTACATGCTCCGGTTTCCTTGAAATTAGCTTTTGGCACCTGGCTCACGATGTGTTAGAAGTAGTTCCATAGCCTAAAAGCAAATTTGGCATACATTGTGGATGCCCTTATAATACATGCGAGCATAATTGGGGAGGTGGCGCACACCTCGCTCCGTGGGCTGCAAGCCATGTCGGTTTCATTTTTGTATTTAATTTTTTTTAAGAGAATAATTAAAACAAAAGCATAAGTAATAAAAAAAATGTGTATATTTCTGAAGTAAATGTGAAACGTACTATACTAATAGAAATATTATCCTGAAAAAAGTCTCAAAAAATACACTGCAAAATAAAATGATATGTTAGAAGAAATATTTATTTCAAATAAAAAATGCTCTCAAATTTTTAAAAACACTATAACCTTCTAAAATTTCACAAAGTATGAACAATGTTTACCATGTTTTTATAAAATGTTTATGAATTATAAAAATGTTCAGAAATTTAAAGAAACGTTCAATAATTTTAAATGTATGTAATTTTCATAGAAATATCATTAATTTTGCTAGAAAATTCTCATGAGTTTTAAAAAAATCGTATAAAACAAAAAAATGACAAAGAAATGGAAGGGATAAGAAAGAATTGAAGAAAAAAACTGGCACCAGCACAGTGGGCCGGCCCACGAGTGACGCGGGGTGGTTAGCTGCGGGCTTATGTCGTAGTGGCCCAGCCCATACCCAGCCCCGCCCTTCTTCCTCACACACCGCACCTCGGTCTCTACCTCTTCCGCCGCCGTCGCCTCCTCTCCCGACTCATCTCTGGTCCTCTCCGGTGCTCTCCTCCGGCTCAGAGCAGAGCCCGCTAGGGCACAGTCGGCAACCCTTCTTGCTTCCCCTCGGAGGAGCAGTCCAGGAGGGGGCGTCGCCGGCGAGAAGTCGGCCTCATCGCCAACGGTGACCTCGGGCTCCTCCCGGCGGGTATTCAAGGTAAATTTCTTCCCTTTGGACCGCCTCTTCTTGAGATTATCTCCAGTTGCATGTAGTCACTGTTCCTCTACTGAATTGATCAAGAAATAAATCAACACAAAGCAGCCTAGATGTTTCTGAACCAACATAGAAAAAATTATAGACATGAACAAATTACAGCAATTAAGGATGATTAGATTTAGCACATCTCTAATGCGTGCTCCGGAGTGTCGCTTTTCCGTTACCAGTCTGGCAGAAACACATGAAACCTTTTTATACACAGAGTATAACTTGTGTGGCTCTTATTACCGGTATATGTTGTGGAACAGGGAAGCAGATTTGTGAGGCTGTTTCATTGTAATATCGAGCGAGTTTTGGTGGCGATGGACGGGGGCACTACTAGCAAGAGACGAGTAGGAGCCCCAGGAGAGGGGGAGAGCAGCGGCAAGAGGCAGAATGCAACCATGGGGATGGACGCCCTCGACTGCCCCGTCTGCTTTCATCCCCTCAGGCCTCCCATATATCAGGTGCATACATGTGCATATATTTTTACCTGTCTCTCAAAGTTCAGATCAAATTAAAAACTAACCATCGGATATAATGCTAGTACTTGCTAAAAAAAATCAGTTTCTTGTGACAGCATGGAACAGAGTAGATATGGTCGCTGAAATTTTGTTTCCGTAGAGAATTTGGGCACTAAAGGCTTTGTTGTTGTTGTTGTAGAGAATTTGGGCACTAATATTTTGGTCGAGACCAAAACTGCTAGCAATAATCTACACTGTTTATTAGTCTACAGGTGTTCCCTAGCAGGATATTAACCAGGGGCGCACCCCGCACACACAATGCTACTTGCTAAAAACAGTTTATTGAGACAACATGGATCGGAGTAGCTATGGTTGGTGAAGTTTCGTTTTCGTAGAGAATTAATTAGGACACTAACATTTTGATCTGAGACTGAAACTGTGTGCAACTCTGTACACCATTTTCTAGTCCACAGCTATTCCCTAGAAGCATATGGATCAAGGGCGGATCATTTATACCCCTTTACTAGCATTATGTATTTATGTTTGGTCTGGTCCCCTTTGGAGTTGTATGTCGGTCATACTATAAGTTCACAACTTTTAATTTACAGACTCATGAATAGTTGCGTAATTTTGTGTGGTACTGACTTAATCATGTTGCTATTGTAGTAGAGTACTTCAACAGTTCAACTCTGATTTCTGTTAAAAAAAAGTTCTAACACGAGGACCTGGTTAATCCTTCCTGTTTGTTCCACAGTGTTCTGTGGGGCATTTCATATGCTCGTCTTGCCGTCCGAAGCTTGTGCGCAACAAGTGTCACTTGTGCTCTGCCGAAACTACCTTCAAGCGCTGTCTAGGGATGGAACGTCTCATGGAATCAGTCACGGTCGCTTGCTCCAATGCCAATTATGGATGCGCCCAGAAGCTCACTTACTACCAGAAAGAAGAGCATGAGAAGGAATGCCCGAGCGCCCCATGTTTCTGCCCGGCGTCCAGCTGCAGCTTTGCAGGGCCAACAGACGCCCTCCTTGAACATTCCGCCTCCCAGCACAAGTGGCCGTGTACAACCATCAATTACTCCGAAGATGTTGAGCTCTGCCTAGAACCAGGTCTACATTTTCTTCGTACCAAAGACAGGGAAATTTTCCTGCTCAACGTGGCACTAGAGCCATACGGGCATGCCATCTCTGTCGTCTGCATCCAACCTAAAGCTATAAACTCCAAGTTCAAGTGTAGGATGTCCTATGGTTCCTTTTTAACCAACTATTATCAGAGATCAGTTTACAAGATACGAAGCTCATCATTGTCTGATGGGCTACCGAAGGGATACAACTTAATTCTGCCCAAGGATGAGATAGCTGATGATGGAAAGGGTACCTTGCTTACGTTCTCCATTGATGATCCTAATCCTAAAGTAAAGGTGCGTGAGCCCATATGTCTGAAACCAGTACGCGGTGTATGATTGAAGTGGTAAGGTTCAGCGTGGACGTTCGCGGCCTTCACTGTTTGGTTTTCATGACTTGTACTCCCTCCGTTCATAAATATAAGTCTATTTAGAGATTCCAATTGGGACTACATAAGGAGCAAAATGAGTGAATTTCCACTCTAAAATATGTCTATATAGATCTGTATGTAGTTCTTATTGAAATCTCTAAAATGACTTATATTTAGGAACGAAGAAAGTATATGCTAAGAGGCTTTATGATCTCAGACTCTGCTTCGTAGTTGTTTCGATGAAGTGCACTCTGTTTTGGTGTTCCAGGTCATGTAAGGAATGTTTTACTGATTTGGGAGGCGCCGGACCAAATGTTTGATGCTATGAAAATTGTGACACCGCCGTGAAATTGTGTCTGAAGTACTAAATGATCATTTGGTTCTGCTGACTGATGCAATCTTTGTTGTTTGCTGCTTTTAAGTCGTATCATGGACCAAAACTGCTCAGGGTTTCAAATGCTCTTTGTAACAAGTGAAATGGGTTACGTTGATCATGTAAATGTACCTAGCAATAGATTTCAAATGCGCTTTGTTGGATACGCTGTCATCTTTTTGGTTGGTGTTGAAAGATAAAACTTGTCAATTTTTTGAACCAAAATTTAGGTTAAGTTCATAGAAACATAAAACATAAACACAATTTGATTGGAATATTTTTAATAACTTTCTAACAGATTCTTCGCCTGAAATAGCAAAAAGGCTCAAATTAAGAAAAGAAAAAAAATTAATATCCAAAATGGTGCATGCTTTCTTCAGCATGTACTCCGAGGTCTGGTCAGCAGTCCCCTCTCACTTGAGAAATTGGGATATTTGACGCTGAACATCTGGCTTTGCAACATTGCCACTATGAAGACAGACTAAGCAAAATTACCACCCAGACCCAGCCGGTGAACACCTTGATTAACATGCCATTTGCCCTCTTTTGCCGATTTCCTTGTCCCTTTTTTTTCCATTCCATTTACAGACACCAGAAAGACCAAACTGTTACCTAGTAGTTACCTAGTTATTTGTCAATTTCGACCAAGCCGCACATCCGCTCGACGTCGCTAAGAGCACCACCTGCTGTTGCGGCACGCCCGGCCGCTGCCGCCTCTTCTTTACGCGTTTGAGGAGGAACTGCTGTCGGTAACTACTGGCTGACGCACGGACGCTGTGGTGCTATGCGGTAGCTATTTCTGTACACAGACTCATTTTTGGAGAGTGAAAGAGCATGTACATGTGCTCTTTTAGTAGAGAAATATAATTGTGTTGGATTCGTGCCATAGCACCACAAAAGAGCTTTCTACCGGTTCCGCTACCTAGCGCCGAGGAACCAGCCGTCATTCGCCTTTTTGGCGACTTGCATTCAAAGAGCTTCTGTTGGCTCAACCATGCAAACATTGCTCTTCTACCCAAGAAAGATGGGGCTGAGACGAGGAGATTTTGGACTACCACCCTATAAGCCTCACACACACCATTGTGAAAATCATTGCCAAAGTGTGTTCCAATCTGCCCAAAGTGCATTCATAAAGTGAACAACATGGCTTCCAATGCCCAAAGTGCATTCATAAAGTGAACAACATCGCTTCCAATGCCCAAAGTGCATTCATAAAGTGAACAACATCGCTTCCAATGCCCAAAGTGCATTCATAATGTGAACAACATCGCTTCCAATGCCCAAAGTGCATTCATAATGAAGAGAAGTATCCACGTTAACATCATGTACGTCAGAAACTTTCCCTGTTACCTCCACGGAAATAAAAAAGGTAACCTTGCTTTTCATGCTGGACATTTTAAGGCTTTTGATTCAATTAGATGGGACTACAAGCTTTGGACGATGCTCTAGTTCTCCAAGGAAAAAAAGCTCATCGCAACGCAAGGCATCCGGCGGCGCTGTGGGGGAAGGAGCGCGACGCCAACGGCCTTGTTGTCGACCAGGGACAAGATGCGTGCGGCAACAATGGCATGACCCCTCTTGTGTGGGGAGGAGGGGTAGAGGCAAAGAGGAGAGGGGGAATGGTGCTTGCGGGAGATGGAAGACGCGTAAGGGGATAAGGTAAAAGAAGACGTTGGTGGTGGGGTGGGCCTTAAGCCGGTTACCCGGCGTAAATTGTTTACTTATATTTTATCGCTCTGTAAGAATGCATTGACACCTTACTGTTTGCTTGCTTGCCACTTTTTGTGCACTTTTCATAATCCGCTGTGATGTTTCTTTTTCTGAAGGATAATCTTTATAAATGGATTTTCTTTTAGATTATAACACTCTTTGTATAAATAATAATATTATTAATGCTCACAAGGTTGCAGTGGCTGTTGCGTTGATATCCATTATGGTCCCATGCATGGTCAATGAGATTGGGTTTCACGCATGGACCTACTAAATATGTACGTAGAAATCACAATGGTAGATGTTAGGTTAATCGACTCAACTACTATATTGTAAACATGAAAATTCTCGGATCCCGTTGCAACACACAGGTACACACCTATTTAAATTTGAAAAAAAATGCAAAGGCAACTGAATCGTGAACATGCACCATATTCATCATGTCATCTTGAAATCAATCTGAAGTTCTAAATAGCGAAGAACACGGTAAGAGGTAGCTGAAACAAATGACACGCTTGGACAAATCTTATATTACACAATGTTCATCTATCGTCGAATGTATTTATTTTGCTTGTGATCAGGCACCCTCCACGAATCAAAGCCTCAAGGTTAGGTCTACCGCCTCGCCGGCTCTGTCACTCAGCTGCGGTTCTGCGGCCTCTTCAGGCGCCCCTAGTAGACCCATGAAGTCTATCTCCATCGGACGGGGACCTCCACGGCGGTATTCCTCCCAGAAGGCAAGGTTGGGTGCAAGCACAAGTAGCCACGGCCCCAAAAGAGTAGAGTCAGGCACGGAGGAGGCTAGTTGGGGCAGGCTTACCGGCATGTTCCGGTGGCGATTGTTGCGGCAGCTCTGCGAGGACATGTGGCCACCAAGGGCTTGGTGTGTGACCCACCTCCTACGGCAAAACGGGCATGTGTAGCCCTCACGCGATGGCCGCGGCGGCTGTTGTTGCCATGGGTTTGGTGCGCCGCTGTTGGAGGCCATCTCCTGCGAGAAGGGATTTGGCATGTGCGTATCTAGCTTGAGTTTATATATGTGTGGCTCACCACGGTGAAAAGCAATGCCAGTGTGAAATCTGTACGATTGAGAATTCAGGACTAGCTTACACCGATGAGAATGGTAAGTAATTGGTCAAGAGTGAAATGTGTGCGGTTAAAGAAAGAAACAAGCGATGTGCATGCACTCCCAAGATCCAGGCATGCATGGGTCCCACACTGTATACATCAAGACACATATTATGAAAATAAGAATTTAAATAACCAACTATATTAAGAAAGAAACAACAGTCTTGTTGTGCATGTGCACCCAAGGTACGTGACACAAAGTTTTGCTAATGGCTTGATGAGTGCTGGTAGGACGACTCGCTTGTCTTGTGCACGTGCAAATCACGCCTCACCTAATCTAAGCCAATCCTTCTTCATACTGTCAGCAATAGTTCATGGCGACTGTATGAAAGTCATGTGATATAAAATATATAGAGCCAGCCCCGTCGATGGAGGGGGCCAAGGTGGACGACCGCATAGGGCCTCCAAAAATTTAGGGCCTCCAGATTACCAGGTTTAGTATACTGATTATACGTATTAATCCACCTGCTAACCAAGCCCGTACAGAGAGCCCACTCAGAAGCAAAGCCAGCCCATGAGGCCTCCTTGTACATGTATCGATCAGGCATGTTCCGTCATCGGTCGCTAAACCTAAACACAACATGCCACCGGTTCGCTTCTGCCAGTCGCCCAGGACGGCGTGGTCTGACTGGCTGCCTTTCGCCGACCGGCGATCCCAGAACCTCGAAGCCACCTCCAATCCTCCACTACTAGTGTACTAAGTATCACTGTCTCGTCTACTTAATTTCGTCTCTGTCTTCTATTACTAGTATTTGATTAAGTTTGATCTCCCCGATGCTAAGTTAGGAGTAGCAGAGTAGGTCAATATTATTTGTCCATAGGGCTAGATATTGGTATTCCGGCTGGCGCTAAGTTAGGTTGGCAGGGACGGAATTAGGACCAGATTGAGTTTGTCCACGGAATCTTTGTCATGAATTTATTTGTCAATGAAGATAGGTTAGGAATAGTAAGAAATTAAAATTATTCCCGCTCGGGGGTAATAAAATGAGAGTACATTTTATTTATACGAAAATGTTAACGCCCACACACACTGGTAGAAAAAGAGGCTTCCGTCCAGCCCCATTAGTCACGAAACTGTAGGAACCGCGACTAATGAAGTCTTTAGTCGCTGTTCGGCAGACGAACCGCGACCAAAGGCCTGGGCCCAGGGCGCTCGGTGGCCAGCTGGTGCACGTGAGGGGCTTTAGTCGCGGTTGGCCAGGCCAACCGCGACTAAAGGTGCCCAAAGGCCTTTAGTCGCGGTTGGCCAGGCCAACCGCGACTAAAGCTCCTCCCCTATATATACCAGTTCAGCACACTCACTTAGCCATTTGGTGCCACTTCTCTTCACAAGCTTCACAAGGGGGTGTAGGTTTGCTTTTGGTTCCTCTTATGCACACAAGGTGTTTGATGAAATGCCCCAAGAGCGTGAAACAAACATGATATGAAGTGTTGGAGCCACACTTGAGGTTCCTCATTTATTTTTTCCTCCTCGATCGCGGTTAGCAACTTGAACCTTTCATGCATGTGTGTCATTGATAAAATATGCATGTGTGTTGTTCATTGTTTAATTTCTATTGTTTATAGCTAGTTAGTTTAACAAATGCATGATGGTTAATTATATATTTTATATTATAATAATGCAGATGAATCGGCAATGGATGTACGGTAACCGACTCTCCCGCGAGTTCACTACGGGTTTGAAAGATTTCCTCGTAGTGGCTAATGCGAACAAGCAGAAGGGTTTTGTTATCTGTCCATGTGTTGACTGTAAGAAT